GTTTAGGTCCAAAGATGGAGCGGAGAATTACCAAACACCAGAAAGTCAGCAACGGAAATTTGTATGGACACACAGCAAGTGGTGTGAGTTTCGTCTTAGGATAGAAAAGCAAAAATCAGGACTCGACACATACAATCTTCGTTCTCTTCTTGACGCAGCTCAGACTGGCAATATCCAAACAACAACCCAAAAATTACATAACATTATGAAAAAATGAAGGTGTATGCTCCTACTAAATATTTACTTGTGGGGGCTAATAGTCTGTTAGAAGATGTTACGTTAGTGTACAACTTGTTGACACTGCTTTTCAATCTTTGAAGGAGAAAACATCATCCCAGGAGATTGGATCATGAGTCACAATGGAGCAATTTTCAAGTATGAATGTGATGAATAAGGTAGGATTTTGCTCGGGGAATGCGTCTCGTGAAGTCTAGACAGCACGTTATTTGTTAGCATTTAGCACTAGATTTTGCATTTTTTGCGCATATGCGTTTAAGGATGGTCGAGCCCTTGTCCTCTGTATATCACAGAAAGTTTTGAGTATTGGAAGTCTTTTTTGAGGACTCGGAGATGGAGGTGATAAGGCTGTCATTTTGTTGGATTAGCATGTTACTGTTTTACCACCATCTGACGCAGCTCCAAGAAAACAAAGTGATGATTTGGGTTAGATGGAAGAAGTTTTTTTCTAGAGAGGGCACCAATCATGATATCTCTGTAACACTAAGTCGAAGTAATTGACCTAGCCACTGATCTATAAAAATTTCAAAAGAACAAAATTAGAAAGAGCCAAGTTCAACGCAAACACTCTATCTTTTAGTTGTAATAACTGTGCTATTACCTCTATAATAAACAAAATATGTATGATAAAATGTGTTGAAAAAACCACCTCCGGTTTATAGAGGGGCAAACTTTGCAATTACGAAGGCTTTGATTCGAGTTTCTATCGCTGTTGGGGCAGTATTCAAGGATCTCAGTCAGCAGATTAGGTGGGTTTGCCTCACGTGTGCGTTGTTCTTCACTTCATAAATTTTACATTGCAAGCTCTGCTCGTTGGTTCAGTTCTCTTGCATTCCCACAAAGACCAAACTTGCATAGAAAAGCACAAAAACAGCTGATGCTAAGCAGGCGATGGGAACTATCCATGTTATTTCTCGTCAGCAAATCAAGATGATGTTAAGAAAAGATGTTTGGAAGCAGAAATAACTGCTGACTAATGGTATTGCTTTAGTTGGTTTTTTGAATATTGGAATTACACCATGTACCGAAAACCAATCCAGTTTTCCAAATGATTAAT